CATATACCACAATTTATTGATCCATTCATGGGTCGATGGGCATTTGGGCTTCTTCCATGAGGTTGTCACAATATTAAAAGAAAAGAAAGATTTGACACTTCCCGTAGACCTTATTTCATAAGACCAGTGTTTATATTGGCTAAACTTCTGACCCATGCCCAATGTGCCAGCACTGGAGCAAGCTGGTCTGGCAGAGTGTGGACTATTCTCTGCCTAGAAACTGCATAGAACAAGGGCAGCTCTTCTCTTAAGAAACAACAATATTATGTGCCCAACTTTAAAGAAAAAAAAACCCTTTAAAGTAAGATGTGGTTTTACCCATGTAATACATTAGTGTGACGAGCCTTCCTTTTATAAGCTTTTGCTATCAAACTATATGAAATTATAACAAAATAAAATGATGGATTTCCACGTGAACTCTCCTGAGCACTTCTGTTTGGCAAAGCAGGTCTCACCTGTGGTGTCTGTATGTGACCTCAAAGTACCCAGAAGAGTGGGAAAGGCATCTGCTGATGTTGAGAATATTGACCCATGATGCATGGGTCACTTCCCTGATTTTTAAGGAAGAGGAGGTGTGTAGCTTCCTGAAGGAACTGCCAGGTGGCACAAAGGCTTTTCACAATTCCCGTGGTACTGACTTGGAAGATTTCACCACGAGAGGTGAAAACCCTTGTCTTCTGGCAACGGCACCAGGAAGTCCGTGGCACAGATGCTCAGGGACCTTGCCGTGAATGTCCAGAGCCGGCTGCAGGACCCCAGAACAATGGGTTTCCTGCGCCGGGCTGGCTGTCTGGGGACCTGTGTGTTCTCTGAAGAATTTAGCCTCCACCTGGCACCCTGCCCATCTTTCTTCTGCCCTTGCTGGTGTTCTCTGCAGCTCTCTTTCTCCCAATTCCAAAAGTTATTTTAGCAGCCATTTTTTTCCAAGTCCATAGGAAGAAATCTAGCAAAATAATTTACCCCAAAGCTTTTGGAACCAAATGTATGACCTCCTATTAGAAATGGTTGCATTGTCAAAGCCCCTTTTTATCTGCAAAGGGATAAAATAGGAGAGGACATATTCGACACTGGTAGAATTTCCAACTTTAAGAGGACTAACATACTATAAAGATTTCCTACCACTTGGAGAAAAAGTGAAGGGCATGTTCTTTAAGAGATTCATTACCATAAATAAAATAGTTAAAATAGTTAGTTAATAGTCAAATAAATAAAATAGTCCACACTCTGCCACTCTGCCACTGGGCTAGGCGCAGTGGCTCACACCCGTAATCCTAACACTTTGGTAGGCTGAGGGAGGAGGATTGCTTGAGGCCAGGAAGTATAGCTTGAGCAAGAGCAAGACCTCTTCTCCATAAAAAGTAGAAAAATCAGCCAGGTGTTGTGGCCGTTACCTAGATTCCCAGCAACTAGGGAGGCTGAGGCAGAAGGATGACTTGAGCCTAGGAGTTTGAGGTTGCGGTGAGCCACGATGACACCACTGCAGTCTAGCCTGGGCAGCAGAGCTAGACCCCATCTCCAAAAAGAAGAAAAAGTAAAAGTTATTGTGTCTGATTTCAGTGTTTACATTTATCTTCTGGGTTCCCCCCCCCTTTTCCATCAAAAGTCTTACACAGAAAGTATCATTATTATTTTTTTTTTTGAGGCAGAGTCTCACTTTGTCACTCTCAGTAGAGTGCTGTGGCATCATAGCTCACAGCAACCTCCAACTCTTGGACTTAGGCGATTCTCTTGCCTCAGCCTCCTGAGTAGCTGAGACTATAGGCGTCAGCCACAATGCCTGGCTATTTTTTGTTGCAGTTTGGCTGGGGTCGGGTTCAAACCCGCCACCCTCGGTATATGGGGCTGGCGCCCTACTCATGAAGGTTTGGGATAGCATCTAGGCAGCAAATTTCAGCAGCAAAATTATAATCACATGCCATCCCTTCTCCAGAAAGTAAAGCACCAATTTATTTGCTGCATCCAGTGCTTCTCATGGAGGATCCCTGGGTGGCAGAGCTGTGGGGCTATTATATGAAACATGATATGAACGATGGAGCTTCTGCTTCTGTTTTCTGAGCTCACTGTCTCTTTGAAGCCTCATCTCCACTTTTTTCCTACATTTCAACCTGACAGAGCTACTTATTGTTCCTGAACAAAATCCACATGCTGCTATTTTTGTGTTTTTGCTCGTATCAGTGGCTTTCTGATTTAATCATAGAATCCTTTCTTCAAGCAAAATCTTGCACGGTTGTCTAATGCAGGGTTTTTCAGCCCCAGCACAGCTGGTATTTGGGGCCAGATAATTCTTTGCTATGAGAAACTGTCCTATGCATCGTAGAATGTTTATTAGCAACTTTGGCTGATAAATCCACTAGATTCTAGTAACACCCCCCATTTGCAGCAACCAAAAATGTCTTCAATCATTGCCAAATGTCCCCTAATCTCATGTTCAAGGAAGATCAGAGAAGAGCTGCTCTAGTTAGTGAAAAGGTGCAGGGCTTGGAGCCCATAAAGCTTGCTATCCTCCTGCTCCCCAGCCTGGCCCCAGCTCCCTGAAGCAGCTGAATGGAAGTCAAGTTCTCCAAGGAGCACTGTGTATACACACACGACACACGTACGCCCACACACCAGAACTGCTGCCCCCATTTCTATGTATTAAAACCCTAAATGTCTTTCAAGACCTAGAGAAAACCTGCCTCTTCTCTGACATTTTCACTAATCTCCCATCTAACATGTTCCTTCTTTACTCTGCGTAATATCTTGAGTCGTCTCCATGGAACCTATGCACTACCCATCATCACTCTGTGCGTCTCTTTACACACGCGGATGCAAAGCCCAGTGTCTTGTACCACAGTCTGGTGAGACAGCCGAGTCCTTAAGGACGAGTAGGAGTCGGCACAGGGAGACAGAAGGAGACTATTCCAGATATGAACATGGGAAGAGAGTAACAAAGCTGCGGGACATGGCGAAGGCCCAGGACGTGACCTAATTTTTGAGAGAGAAGTACAAAATGAGACAGAGGAGAGGGGTAGATTAAAATCACACCATAAATAATTGTATGTGTCATGCTGAGGAGATTTGACGTTGTCCTGTAGGAAATGATAAGATTTTAAAGGTAAAAAGATGAAGGTCCAATGAGGTGGATAGGGGTGCATGTGTCTGCGAGCTAGGAGGTGATTCAGACAGGCTGCCTGAAGATGAAAACGAGTCTGGTGGTTTTAAACCACCATTCTGGGCATTAGGGAATAATGGTGATGACATTTCGATTGCAATATAATATCTCAAATACCATTGATCAGCCAGCCAGAGCTGAAAAAGACACATTTATGTTGGAACTAACGGAGAGGCTTATTCTTTTTCTTTCATTTTTGGAAGATTGATCGTGTTTGAAAAATGCCTTTATAGAGGGTAGTGGCAGGTGAGGGAGGAGAGAGTGAAGGGAATGGAGTAGAAAAAGAAGCCACCAGGGTGTCATAGAACCCAGGCTGGGAGGGAAGGAAGGCACGGAAAGAGCTGTTTTGAAGGAGAAACCGCTGGTCACTGAGAAAGCCTGAGGCTGAAGCTTCCACTAAAACACAGGGACTTAAAGAGGGAACAACGTCTTAAAAAAACCTTCCTCACATGGGATGACGGTCAGAGGGCCCCTGTTGTTGCTTCCTCCCATCCATAATGACAGTCGCCTAAACAATCTGACACCGCTTCCCTTTCAGTTAAGTCCAAACACCTCGCTCCTCTTTCTCCCTTTTTTTTCCGCATTCTCGCTCTTTGTTGGGGCGGGCCCCAGCCAGACCTTGCCTGGAAGTTTATATACCTATATACAGAGGGGGCAAAAAAAGTGTATGCACTTCTTAAGGAAGAAAAAAACTATTAAATTCGTAACACTCGAGTCTCGTTAGACTTCTGCGACTGTGAGAGGTGCTCTTCGTGACTTGGATTTGTTCTTTTGTTATGGGTACATATTGAGCAATACAGTTTTAACACGGTTTTTCCTTTCTTAAAATGTGTATACCTGTTTTTGGTGCCAAGTGTGTGTGTCTAAAAGTATATATATGTATTTCTGGGTGTGTAGACACACACACACGTATAATCTCATTTAACCTGACTATAGTCCCGAGCAATAATTACTATCACTTATCCCCATTTCACATGTGGAAAACTGAGGCAAGGGCTTTCTCAAACCATACCCCCTAGGAAGTGGTGGAGCTTAGGATTTGAAGCCAGGCAATCCGGATGCAGAGACTGCAGGCTTCACCACTACCCATCCCACCTTTCTATTCAAAGAGAAGAAATCTATTTAAATAGTGATTTCTTTTTATTGACTTGGTCTCTTTGCTACTAAATCACAGAGTTATCAAACCATAACCGCAGAAGAATTGCTTGTCATTACAGGAACCCCTGAAACTGACCCCGATTCTAGCTGCAGCAGGTACATGCTGAAGGCTGACAGAACCCAGTGCCCAAGCGGGTCATCGGGAACAACAGTCGTCTACACGTGTGAGTTCATCAGTCCCCACGGAGCCAGAGCCAGTAAGGACATAAAAGTGACATTCATCTCTGTGGGTAAGGACTCTTTCAGTGGAACTTTTAGCTGTACATGTGCTATAGAAAGCTTTGATAATCTGACCCTTTGTGATTATTTTACAGTGAGAACAAGTGTTTTCTAACCTCTTAGTTTAGTTAATTCTCTCAAAAGTATCATTTTTCCTCATATTCTAAGGCATTATAAATTCACCCCATCTGCAAAAATGGGGCATTAAAACTTGTTTTTCTTTCTTTTAAAAATGAACTGTTTTGATCCATCATCAGATCACTTTTGAACAATTTTAGAGAAAGGCTGAGACAAGCAGTACTTGTTACTCTGGTTCATGCTTCCTGCTATTGTGACTTAGCAGTTTTACAAAAATCAAGGTTAGATTTATGTGGATAGGGGCCCACATAAACTTCCAGGTTAAAGCTGGGAGCGCCAAACTGCGCTCACCACAGAAAACTGCAAATTGTTTAAAATACCCCTGAGTCCTTCCAGGGCAATAATAGTTTCAGGCAAACATAATCTCCCTCCAATTTATGGAAAACTAACCAAGAGTACATAGATATCTCCAGTAGGACAAAAAAGGACAAGAATATTTAGTGATCATTATCTGATGAAATGGATAAATCCAAATGTAAACATGATTTACAATTTTTTAAAACATTTTTGTAAACACTTTGTGAAATGAATGTGTTTCATCATGACCTTAAAAAAGGAAGCCAATCGTGTATATTGTTGCTTCCCAAATTAAATTTTTTATTAAAAAATATTCACTATAAACTTACTCCTATTTTCAAAAATGGGACGTATCTTAGGGTTGTATTTAGCCTTTGCTGAAAATCCCCAGTCTGATAGTTGCGAACCTCATCTGAAAAGGAAGAAAACGAAATTCAAGGTTCCGAGAACCTTTTTCTTTTCACACCCAGAAAGAGCTAAACCCCAGAGAGCCATCCCAAGATCCCCCAGCCAGGGAGGGAATTCAAGAACACGTGAAACCTTGCTTGAAGGACTCTGGGGAGTTATCTGAACTAGGGAGAGCCTTGGTTCCTTTTGATTATGATGAAGAACGCAGTTTACTTGATTGGAAGAGCAGGCCACAATGGCCAGGCTCAAGACAGGAAGGTGTTCGCCTATAGAGGGTGAAAGTGAACGGCATCTTAATGTGCCAGCCGCGTGAAAGATACGCTCAGAGAGATGTGGAAAGATAGAACCTGAGCCAAAAAGAGTGAGATGCCCATAAAAGCTTTGATGCTTGTAATGGTCTTATTCACATTTTTGGCGAATGATTTCTCATGAATCTTTGAGGAACTCAGAAAGAGAACGTACTTACACATATCGTGAAGTTAATTATAATTCTAATTGTACACATACGCATAAACAATTATTATAGCTATATACTTATCATTATAACGAACCGTAATGAAGATACTTAGCTTGCCCGAGACGTCAAGGATAAACATTGGGGAAATACACCCTACGATCCTCCTACTTGAAATGCAGTTGCACGTTGACTGTTTGGTTTATTAAGCTCGGACTCTGTGAAGGCTGGGGATACAAACACACAGAAGTCAAAGGCTGGCCCTTCTGGGCTCACGTTGTTGTGGAGGAAAGATATAGAAAGAGAGAAATTAGTGTACAATGGGGTGATATAAAAAGGTATCTTAGAGGAGTGGAAAGTGAAGCTGTCCCAGGAACCAGGGTCTACTTTCCCTCAGGGTGTCACGGAAGAGGTTGGCGGGGAGCTGGGGTGAAGTCAACACTCCTAAGTTTGCAACCTTTTGCCCTGCTGATCATCAGGAGATAATTCCAGCCTCAAAAGGGAAGTGCCCGAGGTCCTAAGGCATGTGATGGAAATGAGTACAGTTCAGAGCACCACCGGGAACAGCCTAGACACAAGTAAAGCCCAGGAGCAGCAAGGTACTACTCCGGCATTGACACAAGTAGGGTCAGGATGGTCTGCTCTCTCTGTCTCTCTCTGAAATTTCACTCATGTGTCAATGTCACCAGAAAGACTAAACGCTGGATTTGTTGTTGGTTTTGTCTGTTTTGTTTGCATTTTTTTCAGCCAACCTAACAATAACTCCGGACCCAATTTCTGTTTCTGAGGGACAAAACTTTTCTATAAGATGCATCAGTGATGTGAGTAACTATGATGAGGTGTATTGGAACACTTCTGCTGGAACTAAAATCTATCAAAGATTTTATACTACAAGGAAGTATCCTGATGGAGCAGAGTCAGTACTGACAGTCAAGACCTCGACCAGGGAGTGGAATGGTGAGTGAAAAGCCCGGGGCTGTATTGTGCTGCCTGGGTCCCTGGAAGTAAGTTAGCACCCCTGGAGGTGGTGCTCTGACATTAAATATGTCTTTACACTTAATGCAACAGTGCTTTGGAGGAAGATGTCATTACTCCCATTTCACAGATGGAGAGACTGAGGCCCTAAGAGGGTAATAACTTGGCCTAGGCTTAAACAGGTTAAGTTGCAGAGCCAGGAATGGAACTAGTCTAACTAATCTCTCTGATTCCAAGGCCAGTGATTTTGCTAATAAGTTAGAAGGACTGTTTTTAAAAGAACTGCTTTTATTAGACTGCTGGGAGTGTTTCACCCAATGGTGCTAGGCAAAAATTTTATATATCTGGTTCCAATGAAGAAAAACATTTTAATTTCCTATTTAGCACTGTACATTGTTGGGAAGAAATGCAAATCTTTGGAAGCAAAGAGAATTTGATAGGCAGAACTGTGGCTATAATAACTCACATTTCTTGAGCCCTTACTCCTATGTAGGTACTATGCTACATATTTAAATAAGTTAATTGATTAAAAACAATAAACCTAGAGGATAGTGTTACCATTTTACAGATGAAAAAACTGAGACCTGGGGAGTTTGAGTAAACTACCCAAGGTTGTACGTCTGCTAAATGGCAGAGCTGGGATGCAAACCCAGGTTGCCTGGCTCCAGTGGCCAAGTCTTACCTGCTCTACTCTGAAGCCTCTCATTGACTGTAAAGTTAACCAGTCTAGATTCTGCGAGTCCCATGTCATCTTTATTTTTCCATAAGAGGCCTATCCACCACTGTAGAAATAACTAGTTATTGGCTCGGCGCCTGTGGCTCAAGCGGCTAAGGTGCCAGCCACATACACCTAAGGTGGCGGGTTGGAATCCCCAGCCCGGGCCCACCAAACAACAATGATGGCTGCAACCAAAAAATGGCCAGGCGTTGTGGCGGACACCTATAGTCCCAGCTACTTGGGAGGCTGAGGCAGGAGACTCGCTTGAGCCCAGGAGTTGGAGGTTGCTGTGAGCGTGATGCCATGGCACTCTACCCAGGGGGATAGCTTGAGGCTCCGTCTCAAAAAAAAAAAAAAAAAAAAGAAAGAAATAACTAGTTATTGTCTGGGCGGCACTTGGCAGTATACAATCAGAGATGGAAGCCTTTTTCTCCTAGGTGGACTTCGAACCTTCTCTGTCCAGTTGCTCTTTCCTACTCCTGGGCAGTAATCTAAGAGGAACTGTAGCTTTTCCAGTCACATTCAGCAGTCCCATGCCAGTTAGTAAAAATAAATCCATTCTGATCTAAATCTGTTACACTCTCGTTTTATATTCAATTTAAATCTTCCCTACCTCCCAGCAGGAATTAAGAGGAGTTCTACTTTCTCCTTCTCTCCTGTGCTACATCTTATTATCCCTCTGACCAGCTGCTGCTTCTGGCTTTTCCAGAGTTGTGGCAGAGAAAGGGAATGTAAAGAATGTGGCAAGGCCTTACCTCACTGCAGGGGCCGTTGTAATCTTGCTGTGCTGTCTCCAGGGCAGCTGCCCAGATGGTGGCTTGTCCTCTGCTGCCTGAGGGACCTGCTCGCTTAGAGATGAGAAGAGAGGCTCTTTGTAACACCACAGTGCTCCATCAGCTTAAAACTCTTCGGAAAACTCCCCAGCCCTGCATTCATCAAAATTCCCATTTATTGCTCGGGTTGGTGAAACAATCTTGGAGTAGGAATTGGAAACCTGGCTTGAAACCCTACGCTGCCCCTAAAAAATAAGCCACTTAACTTTATTGGGAAGTTAGTCATGCTTAGGTGGCCTTGGTTGGTCCTTCACTGCATGGAGAACCCAGGGGAGGGACTATTCAACATTTCCCCCGCAGTGAGCAGGAAGCTGTGGTGTGCCCTTAACTTGAGCTCAAGAGGGAAAATTAAGCCTTTTCTTAACCTTCCCAGCAAATCCCTCTTAAGAGCGATTATTTCACTCCATCTCATCTCTGCTTCCTTCCACTCAGGAACCTATCAGTGCATCTTTAGATATAAGAATGTGTACAGTATCGCAACCAAAGACGTCACTGTTCACCCGCTGCCTCTGGAGGCAGATATCATGGTTGATCCCTTGGAAGCCAGTGTTCCCTGCAGTGGTTTCCATCACATCAAATGCTGCATAGAGGAGGACGAAGACTACAAAGTAACCTTCCAGATAGGCTCTTTGTTCTTTCCTGCGGGTAAGATGCCAGCTGCTGGATTGTTGGTGTGTGTTACTTCACATATGGGGTGTCTGCAAACATACTATTAAAACAGAGATCAGGAAGCACAGGACTATATCATCAGAGATAGAATTAACAAAGCAGAATCCTGGCGAGCCTTCCTTTTGCTTGTGGCTGTTGGTTCATTGGTTTGTGGCCAAACCTTAGGAGTCTGTGAGGGTGGAGCCCATTGTCTTTAATAGAAGCTATTGAAGACAGTTTTATGATACCTTCCGAGGAGTGCTACCTCCTCAGTGTGGCAGACTAGATATTCTGATAGTCTCTCTCTCCATGCTATAAAAGTGCCACAGAAGTATTTTTAAATGCATAATTGAGCATGCAAAAAAGTAAGAGAAATAACCAAGGACTAAAAACAGAAAAAATATTAGAACTGAGACTTCACCCTGAACATTTGTCAGTATCAAAAACCCAGAATTCTAGGTTTTAAGACTCTGGATGGAATTATAGAAAAGACTTTGTTCTCTAAGCAGTAACTGAGGCCTCTCCAAACAATTCTCATGATACCAGAACCTTCAAAGGGTTGCATGCTTCATAATAGAGTAGGCTAGGAAAGCGAAATCCACCTGCCAGAATTTAAGAGCAAGATCTCATCTTTGGGTTGACAAAAAGTTTCCCCCGAGAAGTATAATTGTCCTACTGTCACCAGGTTTGGACTTTGAGTTTATGCTGTCAGTGAGGTTCAGGACCTCCAAGATGATGTTAAGGTTGTCTGTGGGTAGCCTTCTATGGCATTTGGCAAAAACGAAAACACCCAGATTCTCTCTGGCAGATGTGCCTTCAATCCAAATCCCTCAGAATTTCTAAAGAGTAAGGTCAAGCACACATGAGCTCAAAACCCCTAATCTCAAAACAGAGACACCTTCAGGAGGGGTTTATAAGCTCATTCATTTTTTCCAATAACTAATCTTAAGGACTTGCTCAAGGCAAGTCACCATAGCGGGCAATGCCAGGGAGACAAGAGAGACAGGGCACATATCTGAACGCCCAGAAGGTCCGTGTCATAAAGGGCAATGCAGCCAACATTAAATATCCAAAAACAAGTAATACGGATTGAACAGAAAAAATGCAAGTTCAGAAAAATGGGGACTCACTAAAGGCTGCAGTGTTTAGAGAAGGCCGCATGGTAGGGGAGAGCCATCTGGAAACATCTCAACATCCTGTGATCACCGTGTGACATTCCACACTTTCTATGTGCCACACACTGAGATCAGCACTGGGAGAAGCAAACGTAAAGAAGACCAGGCGCTTCCTCTTCAGGGGCTTATGGTCCAGTGGAGGAGACAGACCCATAAAGGGCGACTCTAAACCAATGTGGCAAAGACAGGATAGGACAGGAAAAGGCATCGTGACAGGGCCTGCTGGGATTTAGATAGGAAGAGGGATCCCAGGGAGGCTGAAAAGGCTTTCTGATGGTCAAACCTGTGTGGCATGGACTTGGGGTCTGGAGTGGTAGAGGTGAAGTTCGGGCTAGCGCACATGCAAATGGAGCTTGTTTACTTCTAAGAGCCAGAGGCAAAACCATGTAAAGAGCATAGGTAAAGTCACATTAAAAAGGAGTGTGGCACATTCCTGGGGGAAAACTTATCCATATCAAATCGTCGTAACCAAATTTGTGCTTTGGATACTCGTGTTGTGATTAATTCTTTCAACAACTCTGTCTTTTAGCAAAAGAAGTCACTCTAAAGCAGGTGTGCTACAGACACAGGCTCAGCGCAAACTCAGTTTCCTGGTGTTCAAAAACGGTCGAGGTGTTTTGTCACTTTACCAACGCTGCTAATACTTCAGTCCAGAGCCAATCGATGAAGCTGAATCTGGTTCCTGGTAAGAGCGTTTTGTTACTTTACAATGTTATTGTCTGGAACACTCATTCATTTATTCTCTGGTTCCCTCGTCCCTCTGTCTAATAACTATCTGTCACACACCTTCACTGGGGCTCGGGCTCACCACGGGGGATGGAAAAGGAATAAGCTATGTTCTGGGGCCTCCAGCCTAGGTGAGAGACATGTGGATTGAAAAGACAGGTGGCTGGGTGGCTGGAAGAGGCTAGCTGGTTTAGCTTTGCTGAAGGTAGGTGGGGAGGAAGTGATCCAGAAGCCTGAAAAAGAAGCCGGACTCCTGTGTCTGGGAGGCTAAGCGGGTCACCAGGCAGGTAGGAGCAACAGTATCTGTGTGAGGTTGGGATTCTTTTGAAATTTCAGTGAAGGAAGGATGTCTCTAATCTCCAGAGTAGACGGTGCCTTTCCCAGCCTTTGCCATCGCTGAGCCAGGATGCCCTTGTGTGATGCCTTCACAGGGGAAGGTCCTGTTGTAGCCATTTCTATCAAAGCCCAGGCTGATGAGCTCCCCTCAGTAGCCGCAGATGTGACCCTGAGCTTGAACCACAAGCAACCTCCCTCTCCCCATTTGAATCTTCCCGGGGACAGGACTCCTGACATGTGAAGCAGCTGTGGCCCTATCCCCAAGCTCATTTGAAGTTACTGAGTCATTTGTGGGCATTCTCACACATGTTGGTCACCGGGCCCTGGACACCAAAGCAGGAAGCAGTTTAGAATTGCTGTCCCCAGTCACCACCAAGCACAGCCCCTCCAGGGGGCAGCAAGGTCACCCTGTCCCTGTCCCTGCCCTCCTTCCCCTCGTCTTAGCCAGTGTGTTCTATTCACTCATCTTCATCCTTCCCCTTTTTTATACCATGTCCGGTATTCCCTTTCCCAGTAGAAATTACTTACGTATTTTAAGATTTTATACAGTAGTTGAAATCACAATGCTAAATGAAAATGTTGATGAGGGAAGCGTCTAGGCATTAGAGACTAACAGACATCCTTTCCCCATTCCTGTCTGGCCGTGAGTGGAAGGGAAATAGAGCCACGGTTAGGGGAAGCCAGGAGGAACGTGGGGAGCAGGGCCTCATTTATCCACTCGCTCACTCATCCATCCATCCAATAAATACCTGTTAGCCACCTTCACTGTGGCAGCCTCCACTCCCCATGGGGGACTGCAAAGAGATAAGTTACATCGCGGGGCCTCGAGCCTAGGGGAGGCTGGGCTAAAACTCGGAGATTCAGGCCAGGGCAGCTTGGGCTGTGGCCGTGCTTCTCAACTTTCGCAGCTCACTGCAATCACCAGGGACGCTTAGAAAACTTCTGATCCCCGAACCCCAGCCCCAGAGGTTCTCATTTACTCAGCATGGATATTGGCATTTTTCAGAAGCTCCCTGCTCGACTGTAAGATGCCACAGTTGAGAATCTCTAGCTTAAGGGCTAAATTGTGTTAGAAAAGGCAAGTACAGATTACCGAAGTCAGGTTTGTGTGGAAAGCGGTGAGAAGCTTTGGAAGATCAGGCGCAAACCCAAGACACTGGGTGGCTCTGGAAAGGTCACTGAAGTGAGGAGAAACATGATTTCAAATCCCCCAATTCTGCCTCCAGCTGGCCTTATTTCTGTCAACTTTTCTCTTCCTGTTGGCTGTATTTCTGTGTCCCCAACACAGGGAAGAACATCACCTGCCAAGACCCCACTCTGGGCGTCGGGGAGCCCGGGAAGGTCATCCAGAAGCTGTGCCAGTTCTC